GCCTTAAGGGAATTTATTCATATTAAATACTTTAAATGTAATATATTTTATTAAATGTGTTCATAGTCTTTGCTTTATCTATGAACTGAATGGGAACGTGTGTCCAAACTTGTGACTGGTGGTGTATAGTAGGAATCTGGACAAACATGCATGTCAACTGAAACCTCAGTGGTTGGAGTCATACAGCCATGAAGCTGTAATTGTAGTTGGTGTCTAATCTTGGGGGGGGGACTGCGATATTCGTTTCTGTGACAGTTTTAGCACATCACAAACTACAAGACTAAATTCACTTCTTTTCAGTCTCACACAGGCAAAACTGACATTCAGAAGACTTGCTACAGCTTCAGTTTTGACAGAGTATTTGGCCCACAGGCTTCACAGCAGGAGGTAATCAGACATACACAATTTACACTGTACAGTAATCACAAACAAATGCCAATCTGGTTTTATTTATGAATGTATTTTGTGGCAGCCAAAGCAGTAAATTCGTGGTGTTTGCAGGTCTTTGATGAGATCTCCCTGTTAGTGCAGTCTGCGCTGGACGGCTACAACGTGTGCTGCTTTGCCTACGGCCAGACTGGCAGTGGGAAGACGTACACCATGGAGGGAGAGGAGCACGGGGAGTCCAGAGGTGTAATTCCCCGCGCTGTGCAGCAGGTGTTCAAGACTGCACACAAGCTGGAAGCACAAGGCTGGGAGGTTAGTGAGTACTGTCCTGCACATGAGTATGTCCAGTGTGGTGTTAAACTTGGTTCAGTTTGTTCTGAGGCACAAGTTATTAAATTATCTGTACATGTTCTTATTTACATGATCAAATTAAATACAGTTAAAGCATTTTAAATCTTAACTGACTTAGTCTAAACTATGTTAATTACCTGGTTGTGTTGGTTAGACATGCTCTTGTTTTCAGTGTTTAATCACATTATTATAAACTAGATGTGATTTTAGAGCTGCTTTGACCTGCTCTGTGTGGATACTAGCTACACTTTTGATTAAACTTGAACAATCTCTGTTTTATCTCAGTTCACCTTTACAGCTAGTTTTGTCGAGATCTACAACGAGACTCTTCGGGATTTGCTCTACACTGAGAAGACCAGCAAGAGGCCTGAGCTCGAAATTCGGAAGACGAACAATGAGATGACCGTCACAAACCTGACGTACAAAAAAGTCACCAATGAGGATCAGGTAAGGCAGGAAAGTAGCTCAGCTCAAGGTTCTTGCATGTTAAATGTTAACGTGCATAAATGTGATTGACTATGTGATCCCTCCTCCTGCCAGGTGCTCGGCCTGATTTCTTTGGCCAGTCACAATCGCTCCACGGCCCAGACAACCCAGAACGATCGCTCGTCTCGCTCCCACTCAGTTTTCCAGCTGGATATTGAGGGAGTGAACGATGGCAGGGACGTCAAATGCAAGTGTGAGTAGAGTTCCTCAGAATACACTAGAAATGCAGCTCGCTTGTGTGTTTAGAATATCGAAAGTCTGGTTAACTGGTCAGTTCTGTGAGCAGTGGAAAAGCTTCTGGTCTAATGATATCACATGCCTATTAACACAGTAACAGGAGACACTGTACATGTTATTCTGTAGTCCATAACTTCTGCATTTTCTGTGATGTCTGCCATTTATAATCTCATTTTGCTAAGTCTGTTTTTGTTAAACCTTCATATATCGTGTTGTCTGTGTGTGTAGCTACCCTGTGTCTGGTGGACTTGGCCGGCAGCGAGCGACTGGAGAAGAGCCAGTCTCAGGGTGAGCGCTTCAAGGAGATGACGGCCATCAATGGCTCCCTGTCCAACCTGGGCAGGGTCATCACTGCGCTGGCCAACAAGGTGTGTAAGCTGCAGCCTGGACAAAAACAACAATGTTGAGTTTGGCCAGTTCACAGCTTGTGAGTCTGGGAAGCCTGAGATACAGTGTCAAGTTCACTCACACACTGGGCTCTTGGGCAACATGGGAAACATCTGAGTTCTGTTTATGACCAGTTAATTATTCAGTGTGTTTGCTTGTGTTGCAGGAGAGCTACATTCCATACAGGACCTCGAAGCTCACATACCTCCTGCAGGGCTGCTTGGGCGGAAACAGTAAAACGTGAGTTAGCTTCATGACCCCAGTGGGTTATTCCAACAGATGCAGTGTGATGCTGTCACTGGAGCTCAGGGCTGAAAACCCCTTTGCCCACAGTGAGCGTTTTTACTCATCAGCTAATTTGTCAATGCCAAACCAAAATAAACAAACTATGATTCTGACCAACCCCGCCCCCGCTTAATCGTGCTTAGTGTTGAAAATACTTTAATATAGAAACTGATTGGCCTTTTAAACTTGTATTCTATCTGTGCTGAAGTTATTTAGGAAAGGAGCCATTCACTGCTTTTATCCTTATGAGTTTATATTGATTGGATTTCTGTCTTTCTCCTCACAGGCTGATGTTTGTGAACATCACCCCGGGGCCAGACAGCTTCGGAGAATCGCTCAACTCCCTGAGGTTTGCCAGCAAGGTCAGTGGTAGCTGTGGTTGTTTACAGATGAGACAGCTGGTCAAAGATGACATGCATATCAGTCACATGATATGAAACTGTAGCTAAAGTGCAGCTTTTCTCTAGTAACTGTTCATGTTTAGTGAGGGAATGTCATTGTGTCCTTCACCTTGAACACTGCTGATAAATGACCAAGGTGGACATGACAGTAGCTGAGTCAGGTTGGGGATTAGTCTGAAATGCCTTTAAAATGTTACACATCAGGGATCACCCTGATGTGTAACAGCATAGGAGGACTGTGCACTGTTACACAGAACGTGGTAAAGAAAGGACATTTGAAAGAAAGGACCAGGGATGTTACACATTTTAAAGGCATTTCAGACTAATCCCCAACCTGACTCAGCTACTGTCATGTCCACCTTGGTCATTTATCAACAGTGTTCAAGGTGAAGGACAAAATGACATGCTGTTACACATCACCCTGAGGTGTAACAGCATAGGAGGACTGTGCACTTTCACTGTAAACAATATAATTTTCTTATAAACCCTTTGGGATTTTTGAGGTAATGTTTTGTGTTTGCTTTCTTCACAGGTCAACGACTGTGTCATTGGCACAGCTTGTGCAAACAAGAAGTAGAACTGCTTTATTATTATAGTCACTGTAACTTCCCCACTGTGCTGTTTGGCCCACGCTGTGGTGCCAACATGTATCCTGCACAAACTAAATCTTTCTGCATATTCTCAGAGCCTGTATCAGTGGCTACTTGTACAGGTATTGTGAATTTCTTATGCTTGTATGTAAATCAAGTAGATGTGCACCTGTGCTTCCTGGTCACTTGATTTTTTAATGCATGTAGGATCCTTGACTGATAAGACTTTTTTTAACCATCCATATGATTCAGTTTTTTTGTTTGTTTGTTTGTTTTTTAGGTTTCGGGAAAATATAGCTTGTACAATATATAGCAAATATTTGCAGGCCTTTTTAAGAAGTGGTTTTATTTTTATGTTGTATTTCTTGATATGATAAAACAGATGTTTGTATGTGCCAGATGTTATTTCAAACAAGCTACTGTTAAGGTTTCAATAAACGTGAAGCACATTACAGCAAATCATGAATACATTACTAAAGAACACAGTGCCAACAAATTGTTCAATGACTAGCGCGCACATGCTTTCATAAATTATTCGTGTAAATACGGTAATGGTTTATTTACCCGGAAGAACAGAAACCTGGCCACGTTGCTGCTCGTGTCACCTGTTGCTTCATCGCTGCACTTGGCCGCCCTCCTCCTCCTCCTCCTCCATCTTCCTCCATTTGTAGGAGCAAACATTCATTAGCATCAACTTTAACCACTTGCAGAGCACTTGGTACTGACTAGCAGCTGTGTACAGCGTCTGTAGACTAGCGTTAGCTTGGCTATATTTACTAGTGCAGGTCACGTACATGGGAGGAGGAGCGTGTGAGACCAGTGCACTGTGCGCAGCTGTTAAATAGTATTTTACCCATTCTCAGTAGAAAAAATAAAGAAAATGAATATGCGACAGTCAGTAATGATATTGTGGTGGGCCACCACAAACAAATCTGTGTATTTGATTAAACATTACGCTATTAACCAGTCGCCATCGTTGCTATCTTTGTGTGTTTAGTACAGGACATTAAGATGATGATATAAGCTAAATGTTGGATACTCAACATGTAGCCTTTACAAACTACATGGAGAGGAATATAGAAAAATGTGATTTCTTAATATTTTAAATCAATACGTTTAAAAATTAATTACCAATATTATTAACGCTATGTTTAAGTACTTTGGGCCTATTATTTTTTCAAATTAATTTTTTGTCGGCCGAAGTCTGGCACGTCTGTCTGGAGCCCTCTTAAAGGCGACGCCGTCTGCTGCTGCAGAGATAAGACTGGACGAACATTTGCTAAAAATGCTCCTCAAACTTCGGTTCGTGGATGAACCGGCAGGACACGCTGCCGTCAGCTCGGACAGAGACCGCACTTTAACAGACTGCACTGTCAACTGAAAGGGTGAGTTCACCGTCGGCTGCGGCTCCTGGTTTTTGCAGCCAGCCGTGTGAGCTAACAGCTAGCTAGCACGCTAACGTCACATCTGTAACGGGAATGCAACTGTATGTGTCTGCAGGGAGAAGACCCCCACCAGCAAAACATTTTCACAGCAGAGCTAGTTTCATCATCAGTCCGCAGCTTTGCTTTTTTGTAGCATGTCAACTAAAAGTGTGTTTGCTCTCCAGCTGTTGATTTTCTCAGCAACACAAGTGGGGTGGTCATGTATGTGATGTGGACATTTTCTCTTGATTAAATCCTTCCCAGATGGAGGAGGCTCTGCAGACAAGTGACTGTGCAGGGACAGTGTGTTGCAACTTACATGGTCCGTGGCATATAATAGAAATGAAATGCATGTCATTAAGATGTAAATATACATAGTGCAACCTGTCATTGCCTTCAAACAGTGACATGCAGCAGGGGCTTCACATAGACAGGACTGCATAATCTCCACTGCTTCAGTTAGGGCTAATTCACAGTGTATGCTGGGTAACTTTTCAAACTAAAACATGGTCAGTCAAGTCAGCTGCTTCCTTGATTCATCACTGTTCCCTCTGCATTTACCTGCTCTCCCACACACACGCGATGAAGGACAAGAAAACACTCAGCTTAATCACAACATTCATCATGGAGTCATTTCATTGCTTGAGAATTAGTCAGGGTCAGAATTAACCATGAGTCATTGGGTAATAACAGCTATTTGTTATTTAATAAGCTGGTAATTCTTCCCTGTTTAGTGTCCTCTTGTTTATATCTGTAATGGAATGTAATTTACCTGAGAAAACAGGGAGTCATGAAAGTTTCTCTACCATCCAGATGCAGTCTCTGCCCATGGAAGTGGGCAGCAGCAGCAGCTCAGCTTCCAGCGACACATCTGGCTCGGTGGTGCAGGTTTGCTTCCCCAGCGCTCAAGCCTCGGTGCTGGACAGCCTGAACCGGCAGAGAGAGGACGGCAGGCTGTGCGACCTCTCCATCCACGTCCAGGGGCAAGTGTTCAAAGCCCATCGCTGCGTCCTGGCCGCGTCCTCACCCTACTTCCATGACCAGGTGGGTGTGCTTTGCTAGGAAACAGCCTAAGAGCTTTAACATTCTGTTATCGGTTACATATACTGTAGAACCTACATGGAGATGTTGTAGCAGCTCTCATGGTCTTAGGGCCTGTGGCGTCTTAGCTCTGTGAGGACATCAGGACACTAAAGGACAACAGATGCAAAAGGAGACAGATGGCACAATTAGACTCTTAGGATACAACATGTCGGCTGATGTAACCAAAAGCTTCTGAAGCAGATTTAACCCATTTCTTACATCACTGTCAGTTCACATCATTATACAGTAAGACAGGTGACATATACATTAAAATTTTAAACTTGTGTTTACTTGAAATCTTATAAATGGGTCAGATTGGATGAAAATCAGTCATTAATGGGGAAAATGTCAGAATGAAAGTTTGATGCATTTTTTTTTTTGCTTGTGTGTGAGGATTGTGTTTTCTCCCAGTTTTTCTTAGCACTTTCTACCATAAGATCTAAGTTGTACTCACCAGCAGAGGACTTTGTTTACTGTAGAGAACGGTCGCCAGTGTTGTACTGTAGGAAGACGAGTTTTGGATTTGTTGGAGATGTGAAAATTTAAACTGAGTGCTCGTTGCTGTTGGTAAGAAACCTGGTAAAAACCTAAAATGATCAACACTGCAGATTTATTAGACATGAGCAGAATTTCATAAATAAGCTAAAAGGCCTGTAGTGTGACAGCAGCCTCTCACTCACCTGAACTCTCTGTCTGTATTTCCTGTTATTATTTTATTTTGAGCCGTACTCATCTGCCAAAGACCAGTTTGACACTTGGTGGGAGGCTGGATCAGAACCCAGTTACTGCTCTGAGGGACTGGCAGACAGATGTGCTCTCTGTACAGGGAAGAGATTAACTAGCATTTGGAGCAGTGGAGGAGTGGGAGAGCCAGGACAGATCATTACACGTTGATAAATGTATCGGAGTCATATATCGTTGTCCACCCACCCCCAGGTACTACTGAAGAACATGTCTACAGTCTCCATCCCGGCGGTGATGGACCCGCTGGCGTTTGAGAGCGTGCTGAGCTGCGCCTACACTGGTCAGCTCCGGATGCTGCGAGAGGACATCGTCAACTACCTCACGGTGGGCAGCGTCCTGCAGATGTGGCACATTGTGGACAAATGCACAGAGCTGCTGAGGGAGAGTCGGGCTTCAGCCGGAGGAGGGAGCAGCGGAGGAGGAGGTGGTGTGCAGGACGGCGCCAGTGTCAGGGGAGGTGCAGGCTCAGCTAACCCCAAGTGCAGCAGCAGCGGTGACAGAGGTGCAGCTGGTGGTGATAGCCAAGCTCAGATCGTAGGGTCCAACGAGCTCCAGCGAGCCTCCCGCCCTTCAGTGAGTGAGAGTCAGTCTCCCAGCAGCACCAACTACTTCAGCCCCAAGGACGGCGGCAGTTTTGGGGGAGGCAGTGCAGCCGCAGCTGGGGCTTCAGTGGACGGAGGCAGGGCTAGTAACACCCCCAGCTACTGCACCCCATCAGGAGGGGAGGAGGCCTTCCTGATCGAGGAAGAAGAGGAGGAAGTAGAGGAGGAAGAGGAGGAGGTGTTGTACCACCAGAGGAAGAGAGGAAGACGAGTCGGTAGCGGGAAGAGGAAAAAAATGAGCTCAGCAGCAGAGCAGGAAGTCGGGGTCAGCGACAGCTTTGGTGTGTCCTCTTATCAGGTGAGTGTGTGGACGCTAATGCACCATCTGAAAAGCTTTTATTTTGAAAAGAATTCTATTTTCATCAGGTGTCACATCCAAATTGACTTTGATTTTATACTGTTGCCTGTCAATAATTAATTTCTAGTGTTTTATTATTGTTTAAAAGATAAATATATGAAAATATAATGAAAAAATCCTCACTGAAAGGATGGGGAGGAGTCAGCGCTGCCGCCACAGAAGCGTCCCACCTACAGCCAGCCCAGCATCATGCCTCGTAAACAGTGGGTGATGGTGAAGACTGAACGCACAGAGGACGACGACCTCATCGTAGTGTCCGGAGAGGAGGGAGGTGAAGACGAGGAGGACGAGGATGAGAGGGAGATGGAGCTGACCAGAGAGAGGGAGAGAAGTGACTTCAACATCTCCAACGTCAGGAGCCTTTCAGCCGAGCTGGGGGGCAGAGGCGAGAGCGACATGGACTCACAGGTGAGCTGGAGGTCGCTGTAGGACACCAAGTGGAAAGAGGGGACAGACTAGTGCTGTCTTTTTTTTAAATACCACACTGGAGGGTGATAAAGTTTCAAGATTTCCAGTGGCGCACAAAGAGGCTCAGAGTCACACATCTTTATTATAAAACAGCAATACAGCCCTGTGAACCTGGTGACCTGCAGAGGAACCATCATTTTTTTAAAACTTCAATAACAAGCATGTATTCAGACATCTTCTGCACTGCCAGATGCACATTGTCTCTGCAGAATATGGTGTAAAATTACACCTGCAGTTTTGGAACTGTCCAGTACACAGAGCTGCATCTAACCCCCCTTCCCTCTCTGTCTGCAGGTGGACTACTGCCAGTCTTCAGAAGACTACCTGAAGTTTGAAGGCAGTTTAATGGACCAAACGTTAGCTCAGCACCTTCATGACAGCGCTGCAGGTCCGAGTCAGAGCACCAGCCGTGCCGTTTCAGCGCTGCTGGGCCAGGTTCAGTCTGCCGCCACGGCCCGGGCCCAACACT